CATAACAAATCATATCCAAACCTATCTCTAATTGACTCAAATTTAATCCTTTCTCTAACTGATCAAATCTCTCTAATTGATCTAATCTAATCTCTTTTCTAATCCATATTCTTTCTTAGCAAGGGCGCTATAGGCCACGCTATAGCACCATGGGTAATGTTCACAACAACCTAGGCTGGGTCGTCCTAGGCCCAACACCCATAACACTTCTCCCCCCTTTCGGAGTACCTCTCCCACGAGCTACCGTAGACCTACTTGGCACGACCTAGGATTAAGCCTTTTTACATCTTGGCTTACCTTTGTTATCTAAACCTAAAATATAAAATAAATTTGGACTGCAACTATGTCCTCCTAGATCCCATGGAACTAGCTCAACAGTTGGAGTCATGTGATAGCAGCCTGCTAGTAGATTGGGTACACCCAACAATATCAGGGCAGGTACTGGAACAGACGAGATGGCCGCCACAATTCTTGGCAAAGAGTGAGCCTTCCCGCTGCATGATTGCCTCGCAGGGAAGCCACATAGCCAGACTCCTATTTTGGTCAGAGTCGTAGGAAGCATAGGCAAACAGAAGTGATCATATGTGCAGGCTGCGATTCACAGCAGCGCCGGCCTAAGCGGCACGCGCATCTTCCGCACCATCAGTCGAACAAGGAAGTCTTGCCCTGCTGTTTGTAGGCGAACCGCTGCCTACTCCTCCGATGATGGCCACATGATGGCCCTGGAGATAGAAGCCAGACGTTTCTCCCCACAGAGAGACTTCACCCGCCGGTGCGCCGGGATTCCACGTGCTGCTGCTTGGGTGATAGTGCCCCTCAGCAAGGGCGTGTAAACTATCGGCAGCAGAAGCCATGGATTTGGATCGAAACCAAAGTGATCTGATATCAGATGTTACGATCCTTAGATCATTAGGGAATAACCATTGCCAGGAAGATAGCCGGACAAAGTCAGCATGGAGAGAGACTGTATTTGGGGAATTGCATTATTTGTTCTTTCTTCGTTGTCTTTCCCTCCTTGGTACATTATTACCTTCCTTCATATAGATAGGACTCGTCACCACCTAAGGAAGACCCAATAAAATCATAATAAATCATATCCAAACCTATCTCTGATCGATCCAAATCTAATCCTATCTCTAACTCATCAAATTTCTCTAATTGATCTAAAATAATCTCTTTCCAAATCATTATTTCTTCCTTAGCAAGGACTCTATAGGCCGCGCTACCATACTGCGGGTACTGTTCACACAAACCCAGTCTGGGTTGTCTGGGGCCCAACAGCCATTACACGTTTTACAAAAACATTTTTTCTTGGATCTGTCTAGTGACATTCAGTTGTTTTGGCCCCTCCTGTCAACTGAATTTTTTTCATGCACTTATATTGTCTTATAGCTATATTTACACCGTCTTATTACTATATTTACAATGATTTCTTCAATGTAATTTATTAGACTCAGTGATGTAATTTGGAAATAACACAAATATATGACAAATTTTCAAAAAAAATATAATTTTTTTCTATGGTTTCTAGATACCAGAGAAATATATATCAAATTGTTCACATATATCATCAAATTGTTCACAAACTTACAAATTTATAAATGAAACATCAGAAATAGAGAGCAGGGGCCGCTGGGCGTAGGAAATAGCTTTACCCACCAAATCCGGCCGCGGGGCCACCTGCTCTCCGCCGGGGCGCGCAATTCGGCGTGGATTCGGGCGGGTTGGGCAGCGCCAGAGGCTGGCCTAGGGGTGGGTGGGGCGGCGGATGGGGCCTCTTGGGGGCGCGGCAGGGCTGGCGCCGGAGGCCAGATTGCTCACGGGGCTGCGCTTGAGGACGAACTAGAACAACCATGGCGAACGCATCAGGCGGTTAGGGCAATCGGCGGACGACAACAAACGGCCCAAAAATCGGTTGATACAAAGCTCCTAAATCAACCGGTTGAAAGCTCTAGTTTGGTTTTGATAAATTGATAAAATCCTAAGTGCTAACCCGCTATTCTAAGTGTTCATAAGATAGGGTAGCACATTCTAAGTGGTGGAGCAAATGATGAAGATCATGATGGTGGTGATGGCCATGATGATGATCAAGTGCTTGGGCTTAGAAAAGAAGAAAGAGAAAAATAAAAAGCTCAAGGCAAAGGTGATATCCATAGAAGCTCTTTGTTTTGGTGATCAAGACACCTAGTGGGTGTGATCACATTTAGGATAGATAACCGTACTATTAAGAGGGGTAAAACTCATATCGAAATGTAATTATCAAAGTGCCACTAGATGTTCTAATTCATTGCATATGCATTTAGATTATCGTGAGTGCTAACACCCTTGAAAATATTTGTGAAAATATGCTAACACATGTGCACGAGGTGTTATACTTGGTGGTTGGCACATTTGAGCGAGGGTGAAGTGTTTGCGCTTGAAAAGGAGTTGAAACAGGGGCATCAGACCCTACTTCACGGAGCATCAGACCGACCTCTGGCTGGGTCCAACGGGTAACCCTAGCACAAGCGTAGAGAGGAGGCAGCGTTGGACCGAGGCTCGCGGGAGCGTCGGACCAGTCGTGCGCACTGTTCAGTCAATGTCGTATGTGCGAGTGAGCGCGGTCGCAACACGTGGCAACGTCGGACTCACCCCTGAGTTCGATGGTGGGCGTCAGACCGAAGTCCGAGGGTTTTAACCCTCTCTAGTGCTCTCGAGACCGCGTCGGACCCTCCCTGTGTGGAGTTCGACGGTGCGTCCGAGGCGCGGATCCGACGGTGGTGATCAGCACGTGGCAGGCGACCGTTGGCGGCAACGGTCATTTTCGTTTAAATAGGACGTGTGGCAGGGCGTGAGTGGACGCGGCAGGGCGTTGGACCGAGCGTCGGACGGTCCGACGGCCTGTGCCAGCGAGTCCGACGGTCACTTAAGTGACCCAACGGTTCTATTTCGTGGGGGCTCCTATTTAAGCCCTATGGCCGGCTCTAGCTCACTTTCTTGGCCATTTTTATTGAGATAGCAACCTATTGAGCTAAGTCAAAGCCCTTCCACTGATCTCTATCATTGATTCATCACTTTGTGAGATTGGGAGTGAATCCAAGTGCATTACTTAAGTGATTGCATCTAGAGGCACTTGGTGATTGTGTTTCGCTGCATGATTCATTTATTTCTCTTGGTGGTTCACCACCTAGACAACTTGGTGCAGCGTGGATCGTCGAACGGAGGGTGGTATTTGTCTCCGGCTCCGATCGTGGTGATTGTGAGGGGTTCTTGACCTTTTCTCGGCGGAGAGCCAAAAGGTACTCTAGTGGATTGCTCGTGGCTTGTGGTTCCTCATCTTGTGTTGGTTGTGCAGCACCCGATCGTGGGTTAGACGTGTGATGCCTATAAGCACGTGAACATCCAGAGTGAATCGTCACAACGGGGACTGGCTTGCCTTCAAACAAGTGAACCTCGGTGAAAAATTATTGTGTCATCTTGTTTCCGAGGATTTTTTTTGGTATTCATTGATATATTGTGATTGATCTCTTGCCACGGCGGTACAACTCACTACCTCTTTTGTGTATTTACTTTCTTAGTGTAGCTGAGCTCTTTAGTGTAATTAGTTTTGAGAGTTAGCTTGTGTTTTGATCTAGTGGTTAGTGAGGCTCTTTAGTTAGTCTTTGAGAGCTCACTAACTTAGTGGTAGTGACTTAGTCTCTTGTGTGTTATAGAGATCATAGATAACTAGAATTGTGGATAGAATGCTTGTATTTTGAGTAGGCTAGCGCAACACTCGCTTTGCTTCATAATTATCTAACCACTTAGCTTAAATGTTATTATAGAATTTTTATAGACTATTTACCTGTCTCTTGGTATTAGAATCTTTCATCGGTTGATGTATAGCATTTCTGTTTTTCTTGGGTAGAGGGAGCACGTCAGCCCCATGCCACCGCCACTGCCACTGCTCTGCTTCCCGCGTGCAACCTGCAGACACAAGCACAGATGCAGAATTGTAGACGAGGGAGACAAGACAACACAGGCTTTGTTTAGTTCCCAAAAACTTTCCCAAAAAGTGCTACAGTAGCTATCACATTGAATCTTACGATACGTGTATGGAGCATTAAATATAAACGAAAAAAAAACTAATTGCACAATTTGGTTGGAAATCGCGAGACGAACGTTTTGAGCCTAATTAGTCCATGATTGAACACTAATTGTCAAATAAAAACGAAAGTACTACAGTAGCCAAATTCCCAAATTTCACGAACTAAACACAGCCACAAGTGACTAATGGAGGTTTTATGTCCCAGTTTTCAACGCATCTATATTTTAGAAAGAATGCAGAATAGTTTCATCCCATAAAACTCTCTCTCAGGAAACTTTTATCATCTTTTTTTTTATTAATACGGTGCCACATCAGCTTATTTAATATTCATGAAACTCTAATAAAATCCCATTGAGACTAACCTAAGTGAGTAGTAAATGGCTAACTAACTAAACCGAGATTCGATTCGATTCAATTCACAAGACGTGAACTTGTCCCAACTTCTCAAATCTCAACTGAACACAGTTCTGAACTGAGAAACAATTCAGCCTTATTATACCCTCTACTGTGCTGTACTACTATACTATATACATGCATACTACACATGAGCATGCTCTCTCCTGGTTCTGAGCTAAAAAGGTCAGAGGGTCCAGCGTCCAGCCTACCGAGCTCCAACTCAAAAGCCATCCTACATCTCAAAGCCATATCCCGCCCAAGGCAAGGTAGCAACCAGATCATGCGTTGCTAACAAGCCCAGTGACCCTGCCTTGCTCCACCATCACCCATCCTTGATCCGGTTAGCTTCTGCGAAGACACGGCAACGCCGTGCCGATCTGGGTTCTACATAGCCTGTTCGGCGGGCCGTAAACGATCGTGGATTATTTACTACTGGCTGGTTTAGTGTGAGAGAAAAATACTATTCTGACTGAAAATTTACGATCGTTTATGACCAAGCGAACAGGCTGCCTTCTTGGCCTTCGTGCGTCTATCCATCTCAGACCTCTTCAGCGGCCGCGTGCTCCTCCGTCTTCAGGCCAGTCCCAAGCTTAGCCTCGTTGTCGCTGCTCCTCACTCCCACATTGGCTGCACCTGCACGAACCAAAAGTTTGGTGCATTGTCACACATTGTAGTTTTGTACTGCAATAACGTTACTCAGATTAGGAATCACTCCTACTCCTAGATTACACTACATAAGCGGCTAACTTCTGACAACACCCTGAAGCCTTCACATGACTACTGTAATGCTTTGTTTGTGACATAGTTTGTGACAGGTTCAGAAAAACGAAACTTTTGCGCGGCCCAGGTACTGAAAGCCATGCAATCACGAGCTTGTGACAGGATGAATGGATGATATGATAAACGCAAACAATAACCTGAAGACCACACATGACAATAGTGAGATAACAATGAATCGAGCACATTCTGACATACCAACTTGGTGCTTGAGCATGCTTACCGTCCAGATGGTCGCGAGGCCAGCCGGCAGCGTTCTGCTCCTGCATGTGCTGGCACACCAAACTCCTCTCCGGCTGCAGTGTGCTCTGGTTCAGGTAGCTTTCGCTCGCCTTCCGGTCTGCCTCAAGGGTGGCCTCCAGGTCGCTGTCCCTCATCTCCAGATTGTCTTCATGAATAAAAAGTTCAGCTTCTTGTCAGACATTGACTGCAGCTTAATGACTACAACATGATATTTTGCTGCTGCGGCCTTAAAAATTACATTTTTCAGTTTCTTATCTGATAATGTGCTTCTAGACGAATTTCGTCAGAAAATGTGTTGGGTTTGCAATACATTTACATGTCAATACTAAAATTATTAAGGAGTAGTGATGAAGCAATCAAACCATACTGTCAGTTCTGGAAGCTTATACACTCCTACTATGAAAGTACATTAGTTCTGAAAAATTACATATCCTATCTTCAGTCCTGAAAAACTACATATTTCTACGCGTGCAGCCTACAGGCTACCTATCAAGCACGAGTCTTGCGCGATTTCTTTACTCCTATGCTTCTGCAGTTCTGCTACCAAGTTAGCACCACAAATTATCCTTTTTCTGACTGTTTCATTTTTAGAGAGCTCATCAATCCTTGTCACGCAGCAGGAATGATATATTTTCTCACAGAATGTGGTACTAGCAAGTTAGTTAATTTCATATAGTCCTTGTCGCTTTCCACAAACAACTAATGCTGACACATCTAACTGACGAGCAGAGATGTAGAATTGTAGACGAAGGAGACAACACGACACAAATGAGTAAATGGCTAGCTAACTGAACCGAGATTCATATTCACAAGACGTGAACTTGTTCCTACTTCCCAACTGAACACAGTTCTGAACTGCAAACAATTCAGACTAGCTCTGAACCATGCAATGTATCTGAAATGCTTAGACCCTGTACCGTGCTATATTACTGTACATACATACACATGAACATGCTCTCTCCTCCTCCTACTAGTAGTTCCGAGATAAAAAGGTCAGGGTCCAGCGTCCAGCCCTGGGGGTTAACGAGCTCCAACTCAAAGCCATCCCATGTCTCAAGGCACATATCAGACAGACTTGAATCTTGAAACGCATCCAGTCCAGCCCAAGCCCCAAGGCAACCAGATGGTGCGTGCATGCGTTACTAAAAAGCGCAGTGACCCCTGCCTTGCTCCAGCATCATTGGCCATCCAGGGTCCGGTTAGCTTCTGCGAAAACACGGCGACGCCGCGCCGATCTGGGTCCTACGGCCTTCTTGTTGACGATGACAGGCATGGGTGTCCGGAGCAGTCCGGCTTCTTGGTTCTCCTTCTCCTCCTCGCGCTGCGTCTTCGCGCGTCGATCCATCTCAGACCTCTTTAGCTGCCGCGTGCTCTGCTCCTTCGTCTTCCGGTCAGTCCCAAGCTTCGCCTCGTTTTCTCTGTTCCTCCTCACTCCCAGAGTGGCTGCATGAACCAAAAGTTTGGTTTATTGTCAGACATTGTACTGCAATAACGTTACTACCCAGATTAGGAATTACTCCTAGTATAGATTACAAAAGCGGCAAATTTCTGACAACACCCTGAAGCCTGCACACGACTATATATTGCTTTGTTCTCGCAGCATGGACAACAACATAGTACACTGTTTCTTGTCACAAATGATGAAACGACATTACATCATGTCCTCATTCAAACCAGTTTATTTCAGGATGAATGGATGATAAACGCAAACAATAACCTGAAGCCCACCACATAACTCCTGGCACCTCTGTGGACATTTTCAGTTAGGAAGTGAGCCTAGCTCAATTGGTTGGGTGAGAGGTATGGCAATGCACCCAACCACCCAGGTTCAAGTCTCCTCTTGACTGAATTTGGGTGCCTATTTCTCTTCTTAATGAAAAACCACCTAGTTATGCTTAAATGCCATTAGTGAGATTAAGTACTAACAATGAGTCGGCCACATCATGATGTGGGTTATGCAAGTATATACACTGTAAGTCTGTAACTATGAAACCACAGAGAGATAAATCTCGACATATCAACTTGGACCTTGAGCATGCTTACCGTCCTGGCACATCAAGCTGCTCTCCAGCTGCAGTGTGCTGTGATTCAGGATGCTCTCGCTCGCCTTCAGGTCTGCTTCAAGCGTTGCCTCCGGGTCACTGTCCCTCATCTCCAGATTGTCTGCATGAATAAAAAGTTCAGCTTCTTGTCAGACATTTTTTTGGACTGCAGCTTAACGATGAATCATCAATGGATTCCTGGTTTCAGCAAGCTTTACGAGAATGACAAATAGCCGATAAGACCCTGAAACCAGCATATAATAACTACTACGAGTAGTCGAGTACATGCTATTGCTGTTGCAGCATGAAAAATCACATTTTTAGTTTCTTATCAGACAATGTGCTTTTAGACGAATTTCGTCAGAAAATGTGTCCGATTTGCAATACAGTAACATGTCAGTACTAAAATTAAGGATTAGTGATGAAGCAATCAGACAAAACTGGCAATTCTGGAAGCTTATACACTCTTACTATGAAAATGCATTGGTTCAAGTTTCCAAAAAAAAAAAAAAGCATTGGTTCTGAAACTATCCTATCTGTCCGATAATCTTCAGTCCTGAAAAACTACATATTCCTAACATTTTTATTGTTATACTACGGCAATTCAATTTCTTGCAGACACCAATAGAAATGCGAGAAATTCAGTTTGTTGTTGTAAACAACTGCTACTCTGCATGTGACATAATTACTGAATATGATGAGGATTTATCTTTTAACTTCCCTGTTTGATTCATTGACGTCTTCAGGTTTTAGGCCCTGTTTGGATTGCAGCTGCTAAATTTAGTCCCTCTTAAATGGTTTAGTCCCATTTAGTCACTCCAGAGTTGCTAGAGAGGACTAAAGCCCTTTTAATCCCATTTAGTCATAGTGTTTGGGTAAAAAGTGACTAAATGAGACTAGATTTAGGAGCTGCTAGCTGAACCAAACAACCCCTTAGTCAGACATTGTGTTTCTTGACAAACTGTCATAAACTGTGTTTAAATGCCATTATTAGTGAGATTAAGTACTAACGACGAAGTGATCACGTCATGATATTTGTTGGCATGTCAACTAGGATCTTAAGTGCTTGAGCATGCTTACTGGCGAGATGGTCGCAAGGCCAAGGCTGCAGCGTGTTGCTCCTGCGTGTGCCGGGACATCTCATAGGCCTCTAGCTGCAGTGTGCTGTGGTTCAGGAAGCTCTCCCTCGCCTTCAGATCTGCCTCAAGCGTCGCCTCCGGGTCACTGTCCCTCATCTCAAGATTGGCTGCAATTGGAGCATGAGTTCAGCTTTTTGTCAGTTTGTTGTACTGCATCAAGAAAGGAGTTAGCGATGAATGAATGGAGTCCTACTTCCCTGGTTCCCACTTCCCAGGAAACTTTACAGAAATGACAAAAAAACTGACAACACCCTGAAACAAGCACATAACCACTATCGTGCTTCTAGACGAGTATAGTCAGAAAATGCGTTGAAATCATTGGAGCTTATATACTCTTATTACTCCCATGGAAGTTCATTGGTATACCTGCCGTGTGCCGTTTTTGGTTCTGAAAGAAAATTGCACGAGAATAACTTAAGCCATGGTCCTGTCCAGATTCATTGATTTATCCCATCTCCCAACGGCAGTCCTGAACAACTACAGATTCGTAGACGGTAGAATTGTTCACCAGGCTAATTTCTGCAGGCTAAACAGACACGCGATGAATTCTTCCCAGAATCACTGAACAAGATTTGCGAGTAAAATCTGCTAGCTACTACTGAAATTTCATTTCTGTTTGGTTCGTTGGAAAACACAAACGGCAGGTTCAGTTAACCTAGTCAAAATTTCCGTCCAGATTCATTGACCTCTAAGGTTCTCAGCCATTCCGTCCAGATTCATTGACCTCTAAGGTTCAGCCAGGAGGGGTTGAACTTGAACAATGCTGCTTACCGTCGAGACGGTCGTGAGGCCAGACGAAGTAGTCCCAGTCCCACCTCTCGAAGTCGTATTGGGGCCGCCGGAGCTTCACCAGTGGCTCTCGCACGGCGGCGGCGAACCCAAACCCAGGGCCCCTGAAGAGTGCAAGACGAACACGAATTCAGTGCTACACAAGAACCGTGGACGGAAATTCAGCGTCGTGGGATGAAAGAGGGCGGGACGAACACGGATGCAGTGGACATGCAAAGCCAAGAAAGAAGAATGCCAACCATTGGAACAAGCATCCTCCATGGACGGCAAAAGGAAGAAGGCAGCAGCAAAGGAAAGAACCGTCCATGGATTGGAGCAGCAGGGGAGAGGGAGAGGGAGAAGCATCAGAGGAATCAAGAACGATGGATCCGGTTGCTGGTTGATGCTTTTTGTCGTTCTCCTACTACCTACCTGGGAACGGGGGAACCCCGGTCCGTCTCGATCTCCGCTTTCAACCAGAAGCCACCGTTACGGTGATGTCGCCGCGGTGTCCACCCGTCGTCCATGGCCGCCACCGTCTCCATGGCCGTCGCCCTCGTGCCCCTCCCCCTCTCTTTGTCTCGCCCACCAACTACTGCGCTTTCGCTGCTCGTGTTGTGGCGTTACGTTACATTGCGCTGCTACCGGTGTCGTGTGTGTGGAGTGCAGGGAAACGGATGGAGCGAAGCGGGGGAGGGGGATTGATTGTTTTTATAGGCAGGGAGGAAGCGGGAAGAAGCAGCAGAGGAGAGCAGAGCAGGGGATGTGGGGAGGGAAAAGTTCGTTAGAAAGGAGTAACTGTTGCGATGAGACCTGGCTGGTGTGTTTCTGAGGACTTCCCCCGTGTGGCCTAGCCTGTGTCTGTCCTCTTGTCGTTGGCCCAGCACCAGCCACCAGCAGTTTGGACTTTGGATTGCTGCCCGGACAATTCGCGTCGCTATGCAGCCTGTTCGGGAGGCCATATCGTATCGTGGATTATTTATTGCTGGCTGGTTTGGTGTGAGAGAAAAACACTGTTCCTGACTAAAATTTACGATCGTTTACGAGCAAGCGAACAGTGAAGATGATCATTCCGGGGTATCTGTGGGTGCCACTGTGCCAGTGCATTTCTTTCCAATGTTTCTGGCCCTGGCTCCGACGACATTGCCTAGATTATATGGGTGGGTAATTTAGATTGCCTGTTACTTTAGGTTATCTTTGATTTCATTAGAAGCATATTAAATTTTGGCTAGATTATATGTGTAGGTAATTTAGGGGTTGTTTGGATCCGGTGACTAAAGTTTAGCAGGTGTTACGTGAGGGTATCGCATGGGGTGTTCGGATACTAATAAAAAAACAAATTACAAAATCCGTCAGTAATCCACGAGACGAATTTATTAAGCCTAATTAGCCCGTCATTAGCATATGTTTACTGTAGCACCATATTGTCAAATCGTGGACTAATTAGGCTTAAAAAATCGTCTCGCAAAACAGTCTCAATCTATGCATTTAGTTTCGTAAATAGTCTATATTTAATACTCCATGCATGTGTCCAAATATCCGATGGGACAGCGACTAAAGTTTAGGAGATGGAGCCAAACACCCCCTTAGATTGGTTGTTACTTTGGATTATCTTGGATTAGAAACTTATATATGCTTACGTATGGTCTAATTTCTCATAATAGTAGACGTTTGTAAATTAGAAGTAAATTTGAGCTGGTCTTTTAGTGTTTTTAATGATGATAGATGTAGGTAATTAGATGCAAGTTGACGAGTTATATTTATTATTATGGTAGGCATGGGCAATTTGTATTCAAATGTAGGGTTACTTTGGTTATTTTTTATATTGGTAGGTAGATTGGGTAATTTAGATGTAAATTTAGAGGTTATTCTATATTATCCGGATTTAGAGTGTGTTAGATTATCTTTTATAATGATATATACATGTGGATAATTTAGATACAAATATATGGTTACTTATATTATTTTTAATAATGAAAATTGTGGGTTAATTTTGTAGAAAATTGAATAGATTTAATGGCTATTGTTGTCAATGATGATAAATTTTACAAATCAAAGTCCGGACAGTTTTTATTTACGTGAGATTTCTAGGCCTTATTTCTTTCATAGCGTGTCTTATAAGCATTCACACGGAGGTTCCGTCAGAAACATCAAATTAGTATTTATATGTTTTAATTTTTTTATCTCATAAAAACTAACGTGAAAATGGTGGGATTAAAATTGTTTTTGCTTAGTAGGACATAGTACATAAGATTCTACAATCTAGATTAGTACAATCTTATATCGTCACCTCCCTGCTTTTCTCTCTTATCCTAACTAGCATATATTTGCTAGTGTTTTGAAGTTTGGTATGTCGTGAAAGGGTTAATGACTCAGGCTGGATCCCATTTATTTCTATCATTTGGGGGCTGTTTGTGAGGGTGGCCCAGCAGCCCGGCTGCACTCTCGGGCTGCAACTCCCGTGTTTGTTGTCGTTGGCCCAATCGCGAGCATGGCTCATTCGGTGCAAAAAACTCTCTCTCATGGCTCTGGCGAAACGAATCCCATTTCTGTTTCTCCGCGGCCCGGCCAACTGTGGCGCTCACACGGCTCACAGCAGCCCTCAGCATGGATGGAATCACCTTGGCCGCTTCCCCTTACCCCGTGCGCGCCTCGGCTCCACCACGGCCTACAATGGCGGCGTCCATGGCGTCGCCCTCCCCCTTCCCACACGCGCGCCTCGGCTCCTTTGCGAGTCGCGACCGCGATGACAGCATCCATGGCGTCGCCGCCCCTTCCCCCCGCGCGCACCAGCAGAGCCAAGGCCGCCTCCGCGCCGAGCAGAGCGCGCGGGCGCGTGGCGCTGCCGCCGCCAACGCGCAGATCGAGCCGGCCACCGCCGCGCTGAGGTGAAACGATCGATGATGACTCGCTGGTGGACGTGCTCGTGGGGGAGCGGCAGCACTGGGCGCCGGCACTGCAGCATGGGTGGGGGCACTCGTGCTCACCGTGTCCGTCGCGTCATTCGCTCCGGCGGCCTTCGGCTGGGTGCTCACAGCGGCGGCGGCGGCGGCAGGGCATGGCATGGCCGCGCTTCTACTCTACGAGGCCGCGCGCGTGTTGCCGCTGGAGCCGCCGTGCCAAGTCGCGCCTACCTAGCTGCGCGCACGCGTGGTGGGAGTTGAAGACGACGGCGGAGATGAGGAGGAGCGACGCGGCTGGCTCACCGCCGCCACTTGGTCGTCTCCCACTCCTCGGTACCGCTCCCCGTGGACGCCTTCATCGTGCGAGCAGTTGACGGCGCAGGGATCGCTGGCCGCTGCTCATCCATATGTTGCTGTCGCCGCTCGCCTCGCCTAGCAAGTGTTCAACAAAATGACTATGAGGGGGGAGAGAAGGGAAGGATTGGTGGTAAGGCTGCCATTTCTTGGATGCAAAGGTTGCCACATCTACTGGTACAGACAAACAAACACAGTCTCTACTCAGCCTGGTTCATTTGGTTCAGTGAAACAAACACGAGAAGTTGAACCATAAAAGCCAGGCTTATGCTGGCCGCAGCCAGGCTAGGAGGCCGGGCCGGGCAGGGGCACCCTCACAAACAGGCCCTTGGTATGTTGTGACCTAGAACTGTGTTGGAGCATTAAGTGTACACGTGGTAGCATATTTGAATGCTCTGCTACACTGCGGGTGCTCTTACAGAGAGTCTAAATACGACTTGCACGGGCAGACAAAAGAGGTGAGTGTGTGGAACTGTGGATTGGTGGTTAGGGTTTAACCTGTTTCCAATCGCTGTTATCGAAGATGCTACCACTACCTCGCTAATTTTCACCACCGCTGCACCTTCTCGGTTGAAGCCCTCTACGAGGGGCTGTACACATGATGCAAGGAGGAAATGTAATAGCCACTGACAACGTCAAGTCATGTAGCAATGGTTTCTACGTGCGTAATAGCCGAAACAGACGTGTCTAAAAGAGTCTCCCATCCTAAGTTACATTTTTTATTAAGCTTGACCTAATTTATATAAATAAAACTAATAATGGTTATGAATTATGTCATAAAGTTAGTATAGTTAACATGAAATATATTTTCGTACTATACTCTTTTAATGTCATAGTTATTAGTATTTTTATAAAACCGATTAAACTTTAAAATGATTTGATTTTAGAATAATTATAGAAGTTGGTTTATATATTCAAATATAGGAGACTATTTACCGTCCTTATCCGAGTCAGGCACACATCCTCAAATCAAATGGATGAGGATTGAGAGGAGGACGGGGCATTGGGTGGGGGAGTGGAGTTGGGTTATGGGTTGGTGTAGGGGCAGGATACGGAAATTGTGGTGGCGGGTGAAATGGACGGGATGATTGGGGAATTGGGATTGAATTGGGGGAGGATTGGGTACTGGAGGCTGAATTGAAGGACGAAGGTGTGGAGGGGGATGAAATTGGTTGGGTGGTGGAGGATCGGGCGGATGAACAGGTTGATGATACCAATTTGGATGGGGAAGGTGAGGTGGGAGATGAATGTGCGTACCATTGGCCGGGGTCGGTGCTATGGTGGTGACCATGCCATAGCCCGACTCCTGTGTAGTCTATCCCTCGTGGTGCCCCTTGGGCCAGTCGGTCGTCTCCCTGGCAGGAACATCGCCAGAGACCAACTCCAACGAATCGCAGGGACCCTTGCGCGTCGCCGGTGGATCCTTGTCGATGCGGTACCAGAAGAAGCCCGCCTGACGGAAGTCGAACCGGATGTCGTCGATGGAAGCATCGATCTAGGGCTGACTCTCCTCGAGCTCAGCCACTGCAACCTCCAGCGCGGACACGTGGTCATCATATTCGTCGCGGATCTCAGACAAACGGATCATCTCGAAGTCGTCGGCGCGCAGCTCCATGTCACCGATCGCGCGCATCCAAGTCATGGTTCTAGTTGTCGGTCGCCACCGCCGACTAGGACAATGCGATGCAGTAGCGCTCCAAAGACGAAATCCGTTCTGGGATGTTGACGGAGGCATTGTAGATGCCCACCAGCGCCGCTCCAGATCTACCGGTATGACAGGCGAACGCGAGCCCACCTCCTCCAGGGTGGAGATGCGCCGATCCACCTCCGCGTCGCGGTCCTGGCGGGAATTATTCACCTCTTCCAGCTTGTTTTCCCACTTGACCTCCATGGCGTTGAAGCGGTGGAACACCTCGTCAAAAGCGAACTTGATGTTGGGCTCCATGAATCCTTGGAGTCGCTATAGCCTAGTGAAGTGGGGATGCTCGGGGACGAGATCCAGGACTCCATGCACCGGATCGATGAAGCTTTGATACCAGATTTGTTAGCGACCTGCTGAGGACGCCGATTGAATAGGAAGAACACGACGAACTACAACAAACCACGAGTTCTTGCGAGGAAAGTAACGAATGTAGTGATACAAGAGTTCGATTCTTAGTTGGCCTCTCACCCCACTCTGCCCCTCTCTATATCTTACTCGCTCTTGGGCTCAGTGGCGCAAGCATTACATGCCCACTGTGGGCCGGATACCCGCACACTCCTTGCTCGGGCCCTCTTGCTCCTTCTGG